GAAATAAGAAAATAGAATCACAAATGACAACTTAAATTTACATATCATTTCATGGCTTTTAAAAACAGGGACGTTTTGGGATTTTATGGATTTGACTTTGGATAGTGTGTTTTTTCCCTTCATATTCAGTTTACTCTGGGACATAATATATTTTAGTATAATAGTCCCAGGTTTACTTAATTATGAAAACAAATCCCGAATTCTAAGTAAATTCGGTGCAGGTAACCATGCTTTCTTTAGAGGAAAATGGAGATAGCAAAACACTGGCCACAATGAAAGGAAATGTACTTTACACATGTTTGTAACTCCGGCGATGTAGGCAGAGACATATATGTGTATATATGTCTCTGATGTAGGTGATGAAAATATTTACATAGATTTACATAGAAAACCAAGTATTATGTCAACGAACTCGCTAATTGGTAATGAAAAACAATCAATTGAACATGTTTAAAGAAATTGTGTTCATTCATTAAATGTATTAATAAAAAGGTGAAAGGTGGGTCCCTCCATGTACATTTATTTTGTCATCCTTAAATTTCTTTATATTTGGTTTAACAGTTTATTGTACATGTATTATTTTGTACTTCATTTAAAATAAGCATACTAAATTTGTTAACCTTCAATTTCATGTTTCTCGATAAATTCAATCAATTCCAAGTTTTGGGAGAAATGTGAAACCCATCATGAATTATTTTTATTATGAGATCTTTATTACATGTAACTAAAACATTGTCGAGACAATAAGGTAGGATATAGTTGTATCCCGTCAGTGTGAAAGAAATTTAAAAGTGGTTCATTTATTTATCAGTATAAATGTGGCACATGTATTTATCCTTATCATAATCCGGTACATGATAATTGGGTTCTTGCAAAGAGAACATTTATAAATACAAAAAATATATAACAAGGATAATATTTCTACCCCGTTATTTTTAAATCAGGCGACAACACAGCAGTACACAAACCTGTTTACGTTCGTAGTAAAACATAGTACATTCCATTGTCGGTCACCTGTGTCAATTCACGTGCACACTACGATTGTTGTTGTATTTGAATCTTTCGGCCAATGAAATGGGACGTTACAAGTTGTTTGTTTGTGTTACACCAGAATGTTATCAATGAATTATCAAATGCTAAACTGCAGTGTAAAATTGAAAACATTATTTACAAATAATAAAAAAAATGGAATACTCTCCTGTTCTTTTGAGCCTTCCGAATAGCATTAGTTATGTCCGTGTCTAGTGCATCTGCTCCTTCTAAAGACATTGTTATTTCAAGAATGAACAAGAATGTGTCCATAGTACACGAATGCCCCACCCGCACTATCATTTTCTATGTTCGTGTGCGGGATTTTCTCGCTGCCTTGAAGACCCATTGGTGACCTTCGGCTGTTATCTGCTCTTTGGTCGGGTTGTTGTCTCTTTGACACATTCCCCATTTCCATTCTCAATTTTATTAGTGGACCGTGAAATTGGGGTCAAAACTCTAATTTGGCATAATAATTAGAAAGATCATATCATAGGGAACATATGTACTAAGTTTCAAGTTGATTGGACGTTAACTTCATCTAAAACTTCTTTGACCAAAAACTTTAACCTGAAGCGGGACAGACGAACGAACGGACGTACAGATGCATAGACCAGAAAACATAATGTCCGTTCTTAGGAGAAAATTTCAAGGACTGAATTTTCGGCTCTCTCTTGACACCTTTTGCGAGTATGGCCCGTGTTATGAGAGAGCAATATCTCTTGCACGTAAAAGACACCCTTGTAGATTTCGAAAAAGAGCAGGCTAATGCCGCTACAAGGCAGCACTCGCAAAGTGGAAAGGGATTAATATAAGTTGCAATAACTTGTTTCCCAATCCTCTATAAATAAATATGTTTAAACTAACATAATGTCCATAAATGGGGCATACAAAGATCTAAATGAATTGCTGCCTAACTTCTACATTTTGACATTTCGAGATCGTTTTCGTGTGTATTTTGTATTTTTTATCTGTTCTAAAACAGTCCCAGGATTTTGAAGGCGGAAAGTTTACCCTTAGTAATAAATAAATAAAAACTTTAATCTACAACATTATTTATCAGAAAGAAATATATATATATATATATACAAAATATTTGCCACTGGACTTGTAACCAGTTTTCACGCTTAACCTCAAGTCCTATGGCTATGGCTTGTAAAATTGCTTTCGGGCTTGTAAAAGTTCTTCTCTACAAGCCACAGAATCCAACTAAAATTTTTTTAAAATTGAGCTTCTGGCTTTTGGACTCCAAAGTTAAGCGTGAAGGCTGTGTAACGACAAACTTCCAATCAGTCCAAAGTGAGTAGAAATATGTCAGTTAGTAATTTGCTTTAGAACGAAATCATACTTTTAATTTTAACATTTAAAAAGTAAGGGGAAGTTTGCATCTTCAAAACTTTGTGTCATATATATTTAATAAAATCGCGTCGAAGACAATAATCAGACAGTCCGATGACGTCCTATCTTTTTGAAATTAATACATTAATTACATATGATGTTTGCAATCAATTTAAATTGCTTTGTCTAAACCATTATTCAACAATCAATGAAAATAATTAAAAATGTAACCGCAGCAGTTATGCAAGTGTTCAATTAACACACTTCTGTTTACCTGTTGACGTTTAAACTGGACACAAATTTGTTTATAATAGTAGGTGTGCGTTGTCTAATACATTTTGTATTTAGGACAACCAGTCATGCGTTCTCAAACATCCCGGGGTAATGATTGACAGGTATTGTAATCTATGTAACATATAAATCGGGGTACAATAAAGGATAGCATTTTTTCAATTAGTAAAAACAGTTCACTTTTTATAGGAAGACAAAATTAAAATATTTTCCGTTGAATCAACACAAGTAATGTAATTATCACAATATAAATTTGTTATAAATAAACAAGTGTTTAAATTTTTATTTAAAATTCTACACACAGACCTTGATAGACCTCGTTGCTTGTCTTAATTGCTCTCACTAAAGATAGCAAACTTCAGTATTGGAATTGATTTTAAAATCTTAAATTCCCAATAATAGACTGTCAATGCCGACTTCGCAGATCAACGGGACATTATCTAGGTGACATGTCGCGATCATTTTATTGTATGTGTTCATAAGAAATTTCAGTAAACTTTAATTGATGTCCATCACGGAATTGAGGGATACGCGTTTTCCATTTTAGCTGCAGAGTAGAAACCTGACAAATTCTTCAAGTCAAGCCCAACAATTTTTTTCACTAATGACATTATCCATATACTTCTGTGTTTCCGTGACCAATATGTATTTAGTTTTCCGGGACAAGGACCAAAAATAGACATAACTGATTTATTTTTCTAAACATGGCAATTAAAGACGAATTTAATTTGATAAAAAAAATCACATTCTGACCCAAACTATCGGTTAACGTTATGTATCTATCATAGCTATAAGTTCAATTTACGTTTTTTGTTTTACGTAAAACGACTTCCATTCATAGATATTTGCAGTTGTGTATTGCAAAGGTACCACGTGTATTCATCGTTTACATTGGTCGTATTAAAATAGATTTTTATTATTGACCAATGAAAAAAAATCGATAGTTATTTCATCAGAAAAGCAATGCTTAAAAGCGTTTCGTATTTGTATTTCGATCTTTCCCCTTAATTTGAAAAAACCTGCAACACTGATAAAAGAAAACGAAAAAAGATGTTATCATCTAAACCAGCGACATTTTATATCATATGTCTCTGTCTTAACCATAGATCTATACTATCTGTTTCTGTCTTCATTTACAGGTAACTATATTTTCAAAAACATCGGAAATAAGATGGTTAAGTTTAACAGATTCTGATTTGCATTGAATATATATATATATCTGTTCTACATTTTAACGATGTATTTATAACCGTCGCTCACGCTTCACTGGTTCTATTGACGACTCAATACACATCAGTTTTATCGGACAAACAGCTAATTCCCGTCGACACGATAAATCATGTGTATTAACTGAAACACTTTTAAAAATACTATAGCTAATGTTAAATAATACACACGTCGTTCGCGCGAGTTATTAAAGGGACATCGTTATCTAAGAGTATGAGAGGGATTACGGCAAACATCTAAAACGCCGGACGAAAGTCTAAAAATACAGCAAACGTCTAAAGTCAGAGGAGGACATCTATTTCTGTGTCAAACATCTATAATTACGAATTATGGTTATTTATTAACCATAATCTGGCGTTCTTGCCATTAATCGGGCACTATAACCATATGGCTTTCCTAGTGTAAGAACAAATATTATTTCTTGTTGTAAAACTTGAATATTCTGTTATGGATACAGTCATTGACAGTATCTATCCTTAAAAACATAGAAGTTTTATGTTCTGCTGGAAAAACACATACCAGGTAAACGTTAATTATACTCTTTTTTTAAATTTTGTGTGTATGCCTTACTCAACTTTATTTTTCCTAATTTGTGTATAAACTTTATATAAAAGGGTGTATATTTTGAATATCTACACTGTGATCCAATAAGCTGTATTTGTTTATGGAAATAAAGTATTATTATTATTACCATAGATAACAGTTGTCCATTTAAGTATTGTATAACAGTTTACAGTATAATTTCTTTATATAATTAAAAAATGGTATAAGCACATACAACAATGATAAACATTTTTTACATTGTAAATTAATCAATTCCTGTAGGCTATCGGAACAAGGAATTACCATATGAACTTTGTCATCATTTGTAAGTGAACATATATAGCTTTAATGTTGATCAATGTGCTTGAATGTTACATTTTTTATTATCTTTTTCTTTGGTGACAAGCCTTCTATTGGATTTTATACCAATATATCATTTGAATTAACTTGACTCAATTAGCTATTATTATTGCTATTTAGTAGTTGTATGCTGTGGTAGTATTTTTTCAAGTTTCGCTGAAAGACTATAGTTGACATGTTTTCTTCCTTACCAGTATTTGTGATCACCTTACCTGTTATCTTATTGTGTGGCATTGTAAGTCTTGTTAAATGCTTTAAATCATCTGCAAAATAAAAGAAATCATTTTAGATATGTGTTTTCCAAAGTACTACAAATAAATTGACATTTTGAAATGTGATGTCTTTTGGTTATTTGTGTTGCTGGTTTGCTGTCTCAATGATGTATACCAACATCTTCTTTTATTTATATTATATTAATATTTAAACCAATTTAAAAAATAAAGATGAAGGAACTAAAGGCTACACAGCTAGTTTGAATATAGTTACTGGTACAAGGAGCTGCCTGTATCACACAGCTGGTTTGAATATAGTTACTAAGACTCAATAACAAAAAATGTTTGATATATTAGCAATGTTAATTTAATATCATACATGTTGCTATTTTTTTCTTCAAATTTTCAATTTTTAATAACAATATTGTACCATAAACGGCCCTCATTGTACTATAAATCAAACTGTGAGGAAAATTACTGTGCCTGTGTGTTACGATGTATCATTTACTCAAATTAAGCTAGCAAACAAAATAATAGTATGGGCAAATTGACCAGGGTCTAGTCTAAATATGGACAAATGGACCAGGAAAGAGGACTAACTGGTACAGTGTTTCCTACAGATGGTTTTGGGAGGGTGTGGTGCCTTGCCCTCTTTTGAAGATATTTTTAGTGCCATGCCTGTTTTCTGTCTTATTTATAATGCCCTGCCATAGTATATGATCAGCACTGCAATTAATCTTTTAATAGGACCATTTATAGTTATTTCCCTTTGGTTGAAGTCTATATTCTAATGGCAGACATTTTATAGAATTTCATAATTATGTTTGAACATTTTTGAAGCCACCAAGAACAAATACTGATGATGATTGGATCAAATGAAGGCAAACGCGAAGTTGTACCTGGAATTTAAAATGTTGACAATTTAAAAGGGAAGACACCCAGTAAATATGTAACAATGGTAAATTTTGGTTTAATCCCTATCCATAGCAGTACCTTTATAGCGCTATTAAAGGTGCCTTACAAGGGTATCGGGTCCGTTTACCCTAAGTTTGTTCACCAAATAATATGTTTGCCCTGGGTTTGTTGGTCCAATTTTTTTTCATATATATTAATATTAATGGTATTTAGTTTTATTTTATATACAGTTCAAGATATCTATTTGGTAAATATTATATTTTAATGCTGATTAGGTATAATTATGATGTCTTTGATCTCACTGATTGTTGTATTAATCAGTAACTTTGGTACTGCTCGGTTTAATCATGAAAATAACATTTTAATAAAAAGTAAACTAGTAAGCTTGAAATGAGTAAAAACAATGCATGTGCAAATTGGTCTTCAGTTGTTATATGTTAAAATTATATACTTTGAATTCCTGTATACTTCATTGCAAATCAAAGGAAAATAATTATCTGGTTAATCCAAATAATCCAGTTGGCATATTCCGCTAACTACGATCACTACATTAACATCCATGGTGAAACAATCGAAGAAGGTAAGGGCTTGAATTATCATCTGGTAGGAACAAGACACCATAAATATAAGATTTTGTACAAAATCAGTGTGCCAAGTATATTTACATTTTTTAGCATCCCCCTTATCGACAACAAGAGTCAGGGCAAACGAACCCAGTGCTAACAGGTATTGCCAGTAATGGGGCAAATGGACCCAGGGCAAACAGGTATTAGGACGAACAGGAACAAGGGCTTACAGTCCCTGATTCCCTTAAAAGTGTAGTCGTTCACACTAATGGTGCCCTTAAAGTGTCTCCAAAAATATCATGCTGTGAGTGCCCTCTGAAAAATGATGCTGTCCTTTTCAAAAGCTGTAGCCAGTGTAGGAAACACTATGGTATGTGGGTGAAATATTATTGACCAAGACTTAGCCAGATTGAGCTATATTAGCCCAAACTACATACATAAAGAACATGTACTATAAAGGCAAAAAATAAGTAGAGTTCCAGTGCTTTTATCTTTCGGTCATGGAGTTGTTTGGGTTTGTTTTATTCCCCCCTTCATGCCCTATTCTGACATAAACATACACAGTCCTGGAATTTCCAAGGTATTAATGCCCTTATCAACAATTTCCATTTCATTGTTTTTGGTATCTTTACACTCCTCTATAAACTTTTTCGCTTTTGCTGCCATGATTGTCGACACCCAAAATATGTCCTATTTAGGAAAAAGCAGAGCAGTAAGGAAGTGCCTAGCAGTAGCTTCCGGTTTAATACAACGCCAAAATAGTACGGTGATAATTTTCTGATTCTGAATTGAATAAATATAATTTTAACAAAGCAATCGAAAGCAAATTGATTGTACAAGAAAGGACACTCAAATTTATAGGAAATCTTAACTTTTCCTTCTTTGCGAATTAATATATGATACTATTTTCAAGATGTCAGCGCCCATGTAGGATACAACATTTCATGAAAATAGCAGCGAATTGAAAAAGAAAGAACTACTTGACTGGTATGATTGTCTTTTTTTTGTTTTGTTTTTAGTAATGTGAGGCAGGTGTTACCTGCGAAAGGTAACGACACCAGCAAACCTTTACGATATCCCGTTAACAGCAGTTTTATATATATATAAATCATATATAAAAATATTTAAATCAGGCTTTCTGCACTAGGCACGAGGTTGGCATGGTGGGGTAAAGGACACATCGTATAAGTTCTATTACCTTTCTGTTTGTGATATTTCTTGATTAAACTGGTAATATTTTATCTTTTCGTAATATGTGCACTTTGGCATGTCAATTAGCATTGTCCCTTGGTGCCTCTTGCAGTTGTGTCACTTTAAATAGTACTGACTCCTCTGCACCAGGCACGAGATCCTGATCCTGATCCTAAGGTCAATATTATGACACAACTGTTCTCTTTGTGCTGGATTTTTTCGGGTGCAGGTCGTTTCGTAACCTGGTCGTTTCGTACCTAGTCGATTCGTAACTAACTAGTTCGTTTTGTAACTGAGAGGTTTCGTAACCTTATAACAATATATCATGATATGAGTTGTAGGTTATGGGAAAAATGTTTCGATTAAAAATAATAAAAAGACTTATTGACACTCATACCACATCTTCTTAAATCTACTTATTGATGTATATGTATCTATATTTATTTATTAAATAATTGATTGCACATAATTTTATTGATGTCTCCAATACTTTTCACCACTCATCTCTATTTTGCTTAGTTCTTTATTAATCTTCTTTTTTTTCTATCATAAGTTGTTTCTTTTATGTTTCTTGTTTTAGTCTGTCGATGTTGCAGCCTATATCACTACAGAAGGAACACCAAAGCACAAATTCGCCAAGACTTAAATAATTTTACAAAGTTTTAAATTATTACAATATTGTTATTATTAGATGCACACTTTGATCATTATTAAATAATAACAAGAACAAAAGACAAGCAATTTATTTTGGCTTCAATAATCGTATATAGACAATTCTAAGAGATATATATACACTTCTAGAGACAAAACTAGTTTAATTAATTTATATATAAATATATATTTTCTTTAACTGTTTGATTTAAAATAATTAATTCAAACTAATAGAGACGCACTTTATTACCATTTATAATCACACCAGGTACGAAACGTCTCAGTTACAAATTAACGTAGTTACGAATCGACCAGGTACGAAACGACCAGGTTACGAAACGACTAGCATTCATTTTTTCATCCTGGTACTTAATTTCTCCGTTAGTATTTTCACACGGTACTTATAGGAGGATGACATACCAGTTATGTGCAACTTCTTACAATATCTTACCATATCATTAATCATGTTAATGTCCCGATACACATTTTAATATGCACCCACCATGCCATATAGCACTGTCCCTTGGTGCCTCCTGCAGTTAAGCGAGATATATTTAGCCTACTCACAGAATTCTTTTTTCTTTTTTTGTTACTTTCTAGAGGTGTGCCTGAGACGAAGGTTTTATACATGTATATACTCCTATATATATACGAATATGTGAAAACTGTTGTTTCTTATTTACGTTTGTAACTATGTATACTGTATTGTTTATTATATTTGTAAAAATAATATTATAATGATATTATATAATGCTCCTTGTGAGTCCATTTGATGGAAATAAAGCATCTTCTTCTATATAAAATTGAGAATGGAAATGGGGAATGTGTCAAAGAGACAACAACCCGACCACAGGACAGACAACAGCAGAAGGCCACCAACAGGTCTTCAATGCAGCGAGAAATTCCCGCACCCGGAGGCGTCCTTCAGCTGGCCCCTAAACAAATATATATACTAGTTCAGTGATAATGAACGCCATACTAAACTCCAAATTGTACACAAGAAACTAAAATTAAAAATAATACAAGACTAACAAAGGCTAGAGGCTCCTGACTTGGGACAGGCGCAAAAATGCGGCGGGGTTAAACATGTTTATGAGATCTCAACCCTCCCCCTATACCTCTAGCCAATGTAGAAAAGTAAACGCATAACAATACGCACATTAAAATTCAGTTCAAGAGAAGTCCGAGTCTGATGTCAGAAGATGTAACCAAAGAAAATAAACAAAATGACAATAATACATAAATAACAACAGACTACTAGCAGTTAACTGACATGCCAGCTCCAGACTTCAATTTAACTGATTGAAAGATTATGTCTTCATCATATGAATATCAGGCACAATCCTTCCCGTTAGGGGTTTAGTATCATACCATCATAACATATATGTGAAGAACATAACCCGTGTCATGCCAACAACTGGTTTTTAAATAAATGTGTTTAGTGCCGAAGCAAAGACCCTATAAGTGAATCAATATTAACGCCAAAATATGCAATCTTTAATGACCTGACAACAGTATCGTAACTATATCCCTTCTTATATATATATATATAAACATTTATTGTAAAAGAATTACCAGCATAATATCTGGTCAAAAAGTATCTGAATTACGGAAGCGTATCTGAGGCTGGTCCTATTGTTAGGAATCTTATATATGACGTCATTTAAATGTAAACAAAGAAACACCATTTGTAGCAGTTTTATTTCTCGTTTTAAAGTATAGTTTAATAAGAAATATAAAATTTTATACCTGAGAACAACGAATAGACAAAGTCGGCTTATAAAGCCAGTTCCGAGATACGATAGTTAGTTGAATCTGTCATGTTACTTCCATCTCCACGATTCAAAAATGTAGACATCGTCACTTCCAACACATGTTGAGCGAACGGGTGAAAAAGTTTGATGCTAGACATGTACAGCACAAAATATTCGGGAAATTAAAATCTAATTAGATGGTCACCCTCCCTTTAGGAATTGAGATTACGTACTTATTGAACATAGATTATTTCTAAACTACCCTAGGCAGGGATGTCATTAGAAGCTGGCAACCGGCGAATTCCGCCGGTTACTTCTGCTTTGGCACCGGCTACTTCAAAATTGTCAAAAATAATATTTTCACAAATTTTTCATTTTTTACCAAGTCGATGAAACATTGATACGTCGAACTTTCAGTACATCAGTAGGGTGATTTTTACCCTCCATCACACATCTCTGGTATCCAGACCGGAGTTTAAACTAGATTGGATACTTCGGGGGCCTCGGTAGGTCAAAGTTCTGAAATCTCATCGGGTTGTCTGTTCCCGCCGAGAAGCCCGGTGGTTTTCTCCGAGTACTTCGGCTTCCTCCACCATAATAACAGACTTCCCGGTGTCCTACACGCTCCCTTGGTCGGTGTTGGGGTGGGGATTGTTCTGGTGGTGGGTTAATATTGTAAAGGACACATCTCCATTAATCCTTAGGGAGTGTACATGGATCCGCTGTATCCTTGCAGTCAATCAAGGGGTCGTCTACACTGGCGGAATCTCGGAAGTACATACATTGATAATTAAAGAAATTAAAACATGAACGATTCATTTTCTGAAGAACAGAGATTTAAGCATTGATTTTACAGTGTGAAGCAGATTATTATTAATAACAAGAGTAAAACTTAATGCCCCCACCGCTATGGCGGGGGCATAAAAAGACAACTTTTTATCACTTCATGCACTTCCGGTACTTGTTACACGAGATCGTACATCAATCTAACTTTCGGCGACAAAATAAGTTTGTTACTTCATTTGAACGTGATAAAAAATTGCCTCCAGTAAATGTTTAATCCATTTATTGCATTAAAAACGTTATATTCCATTCCAAATAGCTTGTCAAACATCGTTTATTTTTGTAAATATTCTTCGTCCACCATTAACTGTTTACTAACTACGGATCGGAAACAGACCAGCTATGACCGAAATCCGTATTTTTACAATAATAACTACCATGACTACGGACGCATGAATGGAACAGCTGACAAGGAAATTGGTCCCAAATGGAAAAATTACGCATTCCACACGCAATAACAGACTTTTTGTTAGATTTACTTGATTAATGTACATGATGTACAATGTATATAATTCCATATATATATATGGATTGTTTCAAAATATTGATTAAACTTGCTTAATTAACTCTGGGACTATAATACTAATATCAATATATATGGCCCAGCTTAACTTTGTATATCTTTTGATGAGAAACACTGAATTTCATAAACATGATAAACAAGATAGTTTTTTAATTGAATTGTAATTTATATATTATAATTTCTTTATCTTTTCATGCTTTTTGTCATAAAAAAAAAATCTTTTTAGTGCTAGATATTTAGTTGGTAGTTTCTCACAAGAACCTAAACTTAAACAACTTTGAATTTGAACTTTTACTTTAATTGTATACTCAGATATGAATTGAACAATATAAAAAGAACATTATTTACATATGACCCTTCGTACTATAGGTAGTAAAACCAAACATTGTAGCACAGTGTGCAAAGGAGCACTTCTCAGGCTTTCAAATCTCACCACTTCTCCCTATCAGTTTCAAAAAGAGAAGTCACTTCTCCCTATGATTCTGAAGTAGTGTGAGCCCTGCATTATGCATTTAAAGGGAAAGTCCGCGATTTTTGACTTATCATCTAAATATGTTCATCTTAACATAAAAAACACATTCACAAAGTTTTAAATTTATATTCTTTCTAATAACGGAGAAAATCAAGTATTTGTAACTTTTTTGGTTGACCTACGTCACTGGGTTGTGACGTTTTAACCCGATTTGTTGAATCATGGGTAAAAATAAAATCTGTTAAAGTCTTAATTGCTTATCAGAATTTTACGTAATTAAAAGCGCACAGATGACCGTTGGTCGTAGTTAATAACCACAATATAAGAATGAAAGAAAATGAATATGTGTGTACCGTTTTGTATTGATTGAATAAAACTTCCTATATGAAGTTATCTAAATATAAATATTTTCGAATTAATTGCATAAATTATTGAGATTTTTTCATAAAATATCTAAAGAACATTTTTACTGATATTGATCTGAAAATATTTTAAGTTTTATTTACCGTTATAACTTTGATAACCATTTCAACGCAAAATATTTGTGAACAGAGTGTGTATATTATTTTGTAAAGTCATTGTTTATTTCTCGATTTGAGGAGAATTCGTTTGAACTTTACCTTGCAGCAATTTAGCCTCAGGCGTACACAGGTGTGAATTCAAGCGTACACAGGTGTGAATATTGTCATTTGAATGGATTAACAGAAAGAGTATAGCGTGTTTAATATACCCAGATGAAATACCCGATGACAATAGAGAAACAATAATTAAATTGTATAAGTTATTGAAAATTATCATTCAAATTTTTAATTCCGGAAATGTTACAATATTAAAATGGAACAATTTTCGGTTACGTTCTATGCAATTATTATAAAGTTAAGATATGAAGTTAAAAGAATAGTACTTTTAATCTTAAAAATTAAATGTTACATTTCCCAATTAATAATCATTGCACATCTGTTTAATTTACTTTACCGGAATTCTTTAACTTGTATTTAAATCTGGCGATGTTTAAATGCTAACAATCTTAAAACTATCGCATATTTAAAGTTTTTAATTGAAAAAATACAACAGTACAACATGCATGATTTTTTTTAATTTTCTTATTAACATTTCATTCTTACATAATTGAATTCATTTGACAATCACTTAGACAAATTATTTGTGAAAAGAATACCAATTATCGATTTTTTCATTAATGAATATACATACATTATAAATCTAAGCTAATACATTAATTTGTTTGAGGATTTTTTTTAGGATAGCCGTCATTAATCCAAATTAGTAATACAGTTGTTGTAATTAAAGGCATATCTTAGTAATGTATTACTGATATTGGTCCGGGTACACAGTTATCGTCCTTTGATTTTCGTTGTCCACGAATATAGTCCCTAGTGTGGACAGTGTGTTACTTGTCGATTTTTTTTATACCCCTTCCGAATTTATTTCTCCATGTTTTATGACTCAAATAGTAAGTAGGGGGGTGAAATGACACTGTAAAAAAATTTGGGTCATGAATTTTAAAGTAAAGTAGTGATTTGGTCCAGCTGAAAAATGTTAAAAATTAGCACTTCGGAAGCTGTCAAAAGATTTGAAGACCCCCTTAGCATGAAATTGTCCATATTTTGAGTTAGAGCCGATGAAGTTTTCTATAATTTTGATATAATTTGTCCCAAAAGTAGTACAACACACTGTAAAAATATTATTGAGAAAGCGCAGGTGGGATTTTTTTAATTTTCATTTATTGTCTAAAAGAAATGCACTACGAAATAACTGTGTACTCGGACCTAAGAGGTGAAATCAGGAAATATAGAATCTGTACTTTGGCAACTTCCCTGAATGATTTGATGGTGTCAATTAATCAAATAGCATAAAACTAAAGGATTTAAACTTTTATTTGATAGAATTTCTGCAAAAATGACCAATTTTGGCATTTTATGGTCAAAATAAGCATTTCACAGCTTTTTCAATTTTGATGCATAAGTGGCATTCTGACTTTCTATCTGACAGGTTTTTATGTGTCAATATTTGTGTTTCTATGCTTCAATCCAGTTGTATTACTCATTTGTGAACTCTGACTCTACAGAAAAGAAGATTATCTCAGACAATATGTGCAAAATGTGTTGTATATATGATCCTCGTCTAACGCCCTGTTTGGATCAAGTTAAATGTCAGTAGCTTGGAACATAAAAGTTGAAGTCCATTATAAAGACCTCACTAAATTTGTATAAAAAGCACTTAACAATGTCTTTTGTACCTGTTTTATGTCACATAATATCTTTCTTTTCTTCTGTAGGATAGCAAGTGGTTCAAATATAAGCCTGTTGAGACTAAAATTGCATGCATGTTTTTCACTAAAAAGTGAAAAATCTTTGTATCAGACCATACTGTCTGCAAAAAAAGTTGAATGCAAGAGTCTTTTTGTGCTCAGATTTATTGTATCATGTCACCTGAGTATAGAAATGATAGAAAAGACACAAAATTTTATTTCATATAGCTTCAATATGCATTTTTAAATGTAAATATGTGATACGGCCTAAATTGACCCTAAATTATTTTCAGTCTTACTTGGCCTAAGACCCTTTTGAACTAATGTGATATGTTATTTGTAAGTTTTCTTTCCATTTAAAGTACATTAAATACATATGTAAGGATTATTTATAACCAAAAAGCTTTACAAATTTAAAATTGCTGGAAAATATTACATATTCATGTAAGGCCCCCCTTCATTGGAAAACCTCCATTTTTAGCCACAGGCTCATATAAATTTGACTTTTTAATAATTATGATAAGTCTGATAAATCAAATGAGTACTCTATTGCTTTTAATACATAATATATTATATATTAAGGCATTTCAAAAGTATTTTTTTGCAATATTTTAATTTTTCAAGCCCCAAATGTTGATAGTTGAAAATTTTCAATTTTAATGTCTAAATTTAACACTCAAAGTTGAATATAGAATTAGTCATATTGTCTATAATATATATCCTATTGCCATGAAACTTTGTAAGCAGTCTTATAATTTAATAAGTTTTGGTCATACCAAGTTTCATTAAGATTGGTCAACTTTTTCTACCCTATTAGGTCCGGGTACACAGTTATCGTCCTTTGATTTTCGTTGTCCACGAATATAGTCCCTAGTGTGGACAGTGTGTTACTTGTCGATTTTTTTTATACCCCTTCCGAATTTATTTCTCCATGTTTTATGACTCAAATAGTAAGTAGGGGGGTGAAATGACACTGTAAAAAAATTTGGGTCATGAATTTTAAAGTAAAGTAGTGATTTGGTCCAGCTGAAAAATGTTAAAAATTAGCACTTCGGAAGCTGTCAAAAGATTTGAAGACCCCCTTAGCATGAAATTGTCCATATTTTGAGTTAGAGCCGATGAAGTTTTCTATAATTTTGATATAATTTGTCCCAAAAGTAGTACAACACACTGTAAAAATATTATTGAGAAAGCGCAGGTGGGATTTTTTTAATTTTCATTTATTGTCTAAAAGAAATGCACTACGAAATAACTGTGTACTCGGACCTGATATTGACGATTTTAGAACAGTTCGTCCCAACCTCGTTGTTCTTGAAACAATCTTTACTAGTATACTTGTAAGTTTCCGGACATATATGCGCCATTGAGGATGAGCTCCAGAGACAGCAGACTAGAAGCGTATTTGTTTGTTGGGGCAGGAGAGGCCATGCAACCACTTGTACAGATAAACAAGCTTATGTTGTCAACACTATCAGAAAGAGTTCCCATCGTCGGATGGGGTATATGAAGGTTCCAAGAATGAACTATTGACATGTCTGACTCTGAACAGTTAGTAAACGGACTTAACAATGATCTATAGACATCGACCGCTTGTTCTTGATATTTGAAACTGCATGCATATATACGTTTATGAGAGTGATTATTTATCTTGTGTCTGACGAAAACTAAATACCTGCATGGTTATATCTTGCCATACGTTTGTATTGGTTTGGTGGGTGTTCACTCAAAATCGTAATTCAAAAATTGTGTTTGTGAGCTGTAGATTCACTTCAATACCGAATTTCGTCTATATATTTTACAAGTGTATACCACGGAGAAGATCTGAGGGTATATTACTCCCATTTTGTTTGGGTGTGAACCATCGATGTTTACAGCAATATTTAATGAATAAGATGATGATGGTAGAAAGAACTATGAGCGTCATGTGGCAAATATTACATGCATGTCGGACCATGAGTTGTCAATCTGTATGAAAAGATTTCCAATACAACCATATTGAGTAGGAATTTTTACATGCTATACTCTCGTACTAGTATTACAGGGTTATTGTGTCGTTTAACTCAGACAAACATCTTTTACTTTAAGATGTATGAAAGGTTCTAAATATATATATATATCTTAAATATAACAATAATCAAACGCCTATAGGCAATCACTAAAATGGTATGAAGTTTTTATACAGATTTATTCTTATTTACACAATCATTAACAAACTAAATAAATTTAACAAAGTAACACCGTGACACTACGATATAACAAATGGGATACTAATTATTTTTAACCATGCTATGCAGAAACTTAACACATCAAGCAGCAACATATATATTAATATACTGTTCCCAGCATCAAGTTAGTGCACGTGAATACCAATTAGGAACACGATGTGTGATTTTGTATAACTAAAAATATCAAAGCGAGCAATAACTTTGTCAGGCAAACATTTTTTTTCACTATGCCTCTCTTTATCTCCGCTCCTTTACAATAACTATTTCGCTTTTCGTCGATCATTCTCTATATTGTTCTCTATTCGGTTATTTTTTTTCACTATGCCACTCTATCTCCGCTCCTTTTCCCCTGTCGTCCTAATCCTTATAAAGATAGGGACATTAGACATAGAAGGGGCTCTCTTATCTTCAATGAATTAATATTGATAGTGACTATAAGTGCTGCATTACTTTATATATCTGCATGTTTGCCAATCGACAAAAGCTTGTATTTGCGTGAAGAATTTTTTTTTTCAAAAATATGGTCCAGAATCATGACAAAACAATATTCATTTCACAAAAATGTTCAAAGGTCATGTTTATAAATTTTTTAAAACTTATTATCAGCAAAAATAGTGGATAATATTATTATCAGAACATCATTCATTAAAAGGTGGAATTATAATTTCAAACACACACAAGATAAACAACGTTAGATACAAATATATGGTTCAATAAATGTTACCTGTGCACACCGGGTACCTCAATAAAGAGGCCATGCATGAACATGTATTATATAATTGTGTATTACGAATTTTTAGTTGACAGGATGTCACTGGAATACCCAGGGACGTGTATCTAATATACGTCCTTGGAATACCTAACTGAATGTGTCGCTCTGACACGACATCTATCAATAATTCTGACATACCTATTATCAATTCGGGAGGAAGCCAAAATATATATATAATAAGATAACGTAAATAAAATTTAAAAAGAAAAAAACCTATAAATTTTTCACCGAACATACCAGATAGAGTCACACATTTAACTATAAAGCTAAGTGTCTTTATAAGTGACCGTTCCGAATTGATCCCGTATCAATTTGATATAATTTATAGATTAGTTAAAAAAACCCACTTTTAATAAAAAAGTTGAGATGTCCGAAATTTCGATATTTACATATCTATAACCTGGGAATATTATACTATATCAACATATTATGTTCCAGCTAAAACCTCTTCCTAACATTGCTCCTTGTCAATAGCCGTAAAATTTCATAATTAAAAAAATGTTATTTTATATCGTATAACTTTATTAATTGCAAATTATCTTGTCTAAATACGGAACTATTCTTTATACAAATCAATGCACTTTATATAAAAGAGGCATACTAATGAATCTTCTGTAAATCAGTGATTGTTACAAGAACACTGCATTTGTCTTTCTTTTAATTGAAACTGTTCTCCCTCATCAAATCTATATTTTTTTATTCAACGAGATCTTATCATATAAGGATTTGATAACTATAGCTATCAGAACTGCTAGGTTATTTTGTTATTAAAAAAGGATAATTACCATCGAATCTCCCTCGAAACAATATTGTTCAAAATGGTCTTCACACACCAACTTGTGCTTGCTATAGATGCAACTATTTGCTGTTAGTTTAAGATTGTACAACCATGTCTGATACAATTCTTTCTTTTTTTGTGGGATTGGGAAAAATATGTAGACTTTTGTCATAACCTTGTCTGACAGAACAACCGTACTCTTGACAAGACATTCTGTCACTGAATAACCGTCTACGGTAATCCCCAATTGATGATGGGAGTTTTTAACGCACGGTCGGTAAATCCCCGATTCTTTTTGTTCTTTGTGGTTTATAGATATCACGTGACGTTTTAGATCGAACATGCCGACAAGATGGCGATATGTCGAGAACTGATAGTGAATTTTAAAAATCGATTTTGATCTCTTTACATAGAGAATAAAAGTTTTTTATTAATGAACATGTGGTTTTTTATGCTTAAAGAACAAAATATCAATTTTTCATTTTTTTGCGGAGTTTCCCTTTAAGCATGGTTTACATGTACCAAAATTTAAGCAGATTGTAGATTTCTTCTCTATCCATTAGTTTGCTTCTTAACTTAAATGCTCTTGAAGTCTTCTGACTTATAGTATCAATTTTAAATTCTACATTTTTCTAATTTCACCAAAGTACATCCTTAAAAACTCACCTTATTGCCTGCAACAGTCCAATTCATCATTTGATTTATTGTAATAAGTATGTGAAATTATTAATACTGAGAAATTAAAAAAAATGTTGTCTATGGGTTAGAATTATTTGAATAATTGCATATCTACAGTTAAACTAAAAATTTCAACTAATAAGATCAAATTTGAATATTTTCCTGAATGATCACCATGTCTTACAGAGTCATGCCTTCATCATTTTCCTCAAACAACTTCAACTAGTTGTTAGCTGAAAGTCTTGATATAGTGATAATAATATTTATGTGATCAACTTTATAGAAAATATGACCATCTTGCTGCTCATTTACCTTATCATCATTAAAAAAATGGTGTTTGATTAGGACTAAATTAGAGTTCAAGAGCCCCCCAGAATGCAGGATTTTTGCACCTTTTTAGAAAATAATTCGTCGCACCGGACGTCTATGACGTCCGCAATCCTTGCCTGCTACTTTAATTATTTATCCTGCTTCTTCAAAACCTAGTGACATCCCTGCTAGAGAATGATGATCCTGAAAATGCTTCAGACTTTAATAGTGCAGGGATACAGCCGCGTCTTCTATCTGGTAATTGATGTCATTAGGGCGTGCATAATTGATGATCTGTTCCAGTGAAAGACATGATTTCAGAAATAGCCTATTACTGATCTTTGTACAGATACAAAAATTTGCCTGGTTCAGTGGTTGATATTAACCCTTTCACCGATAGCCGCCCTGACAGAAGCTCACTCTGAGACAATGGCTTCCCTGGCTATTGTGACACATATGGGAGATTTTAATAAAAAATTAGCAAATTTTACGCATTAAATTAAATGAAATCACGAAATTTGACTTTTTGACCTAAAATCTTAAAATTTTAACCCAAAAAGGCAAAAGTTAGAAAATTTTAAAAAGGTTATACAAATTCCTTGCACTGAACGATGTCCATTCCAAGTGTTTTTGTACATGAAACGGTATTTTATGTCAAAAAAGAATACTAAAATTGAGAATGGAAATAGGGAATGTGTCAAAGAGATAACAACCCGACCAAAGAGCAGAAAACAGCCCAAGGCCATCAATGGGTCTTCAACACAGCAAGAAAATCCCACACCAGGAGGTGGGCTTCAGCTGGCCCCTAAACAAAAATGTGTACTAGTTCAGTGAAAATGGACATCACACTAAACTCTGAAACATATAAATGAACTAAAATTAAAAAAACATACAAGACTAACAAAGGCCAGAGGCTCCTGACTTGGGACAGGTGCAAAAATTCGGCGGGGTTTAACATGTTTTATGAGATCTCAACCCTCCCCCTATACCTCTAGCCAATGTAGAATAAACAAACACACAGCAATACGCACAGTAAAACTCAGTTTGTTTAAAAGTAGTCCCAAGTCCGATGTCAGAATAGGTAACAGAAGAAACTAAGCAAAATGACAATGATACATAAATTAACAGAGGACTACTAGCAGTTACTGACATGCCAGCTGTACGCCTCAATTAAACTGATTGAAAGATTATGTCTTCATCATATGAAAATCAAGCACTAGTCTGGCTTCAATTCTTCCAAATTCTTTCAAAAAAAAATGTTCCCATATTTCAAACTCCAATAAAATCTGTAAATTTCATTTGATTTTGACACGGTTTTTGTCGAGCCTGTGACTCATTGCAAAAAGCTCGACACATAGGGATAGTGATCCGGCGGCGGCGGCGTTAGCTAACTTCTTAAAAGCTTTATATTTTAGAAGCGAGAAGACCTGGATACTTCATACTTTGTATATAGATGCCTTATGTTACGAAGTTTCCGTCTGTCATGTGTCCATTGTCCTTGACCTCATTTTCATGGTTCAGTGACTACTTGAAAAAAAAGTCTAACATTTTTTGTAATGTTAATTTCTTTTTTATTCATGTTATT